CTCTCTACTATATATATATATATATATATATATATATATATATATATATATATATATATATATATATATATATATATATATATGTATATCTGTAAACAGATATCCATTGAAGTTATTTTACTTGCATGTCACATGTAGATATAGTTTTGCAGTGACAACAGTTACACAGGAAATGGTCAGTACATATACACACATGCCTAATATTATTAAGATATTGTTTAAAGCCAAAATATTGTGATTAAAATATAATAATTATCTATTAACTTTGGGAATTAGCAGTAATTCAAAATTTTTTGATTCATAAAATTGTCGAGGATCAAAGAAATTAAAGGATTAGAAATTCGCTTAACTTATATTAATTTCTAAAATGATTTGAAAATCCTATTACGAACAAAGTTATCTGGTACATTTTTGCGGATAAACTTTTGAAATTATCGTCCTGTAATTATCTCTCCCTGTTTGACAGTAGTTATTAGGAAGGATTCATCAAGCATCTCATGGTCAATCTACAACTGATTGCGTTGTTGTGCAAATGGATTGTGCAACTATAAACTGAAGATTTGAGATAATTGTTAGTTGTACATTCATATCCGTGTTTGATCTATCTTCTCTTAAGCTGTAAATGGTTTGAAAAGCGCCTTTTCCATCTACTTCAAATTTCCAATATTTTATTAATGCTTTCTACTAACGTTAAATCGAGTTTAGCTTAAGTTGGACTTTTTTTTGAAAAGAAAAAGGAAGTAAATGCAATGAGTGATTTATATATGTTTTTTTTTCGTTTTACGAAAGTATTACGTTTTTATTCAAATATCTGTGAAATATTGCAGTGAAACGTGCCACAGTTGCAAGTGATATAAATTTACCAGATGATGATCCGGAGGAAAGGAGACTTAATCAAGAAATTGCAAAATGGGAGGAGAAATTGCGTGAACTTTTTGGTAAGGTTGTATTTTTGAAATGAAATGGAAATTCAGTTTTTTTCAGATTGTTGATTTTTTAAGTCAATTCAATCAACAATATAGAATGAATTGGTTTTTCAAGATTTCAATGTAATTCTCAGCAAATTTATAGATAAGCGCGTAAAAGATGAAAAAGAACTGTCAAATTATATTGAGAAACGACTGGCATGGTTTGAACAACTTCGTTCGCATATCGCAAAGGTTCCATTAATGGATCGAACGGATATGGCTCGGAATGCTGTACGAGAAAAGGTACTGTTATACTTGACAGTTTTTTAAATTTGTTGGTCTAGTTTGTCAATTTTCTTCCAAAATTTCGCTTACTGGGATAAAGTTTGAAGGATTTTGCATTTGATTTTTCTTGATGATATTACTCCATTTCAGATGAAAGGTTTGGTCAAACAAAAATTTGTTGAATTACGTGCAGCAAGGCGAGGCTCGTTAAACAAAGGTTAATAGCATTTATACAATCATTTTCATGGATATGACATGCATATGAATTTGAAATTTGATTTTTTATATTGGAAAATTTTCAAATTCAGTAGAAGGATAAAAATTAATATGCTACTCTATCCGTTTCATCTTTATTGGTTACAGTGGTGCAACGTACCGAACGGATGTATGAGGATGATTTTGTATCATTCATTGATGATATATATTATGCTGGTGTTGGAACATCAGATTCTAATCATTCCACTGATCAAAGTGAAAGTGATGAAGGTCGTCAGAAGCTGCCGCGCCGAAATCGAACCTTCAGTGGTATCGGTGAACGAAGGAAAGGTTAAATATAAAATTTGTTTGATCAAATTTTGAAACAATCTTAAAGCTGGAAAATTATATTTTAATACTCTTTTTTAGCTGATTTAATAAGCAAGAGCTTTACTTTCAAAACCATTCAAGGAAAAGTTGACACATTTGAGAGAACTTTTTCATTAACTTCATGTTGTAGGAGGTTCTGTCCGACGACATACAACCGAGCCTCAGATAGCTGATGCACGAATTTATGACGAGGAACATGATTCTGCTGCAGAGGAGGAAGAAAGGAGAAGGCTACCGGTTTTTATCTTCATCTTTTTACATCAGTTTTTCCTACCATAGTTGTTACAGTCTATAAGCCTTCTCTGAAATGCCAATCCGGAGTGTAATAAGGTCCAGCAGAAAGTGCAATCCTGAATGATCGGATAATTCTGATGGTCTTAGTAATTACTGGAATAATGGTTGAATCTTCATGTACATTTTCCAGCCTTTACTTTGGAGAAAAACAATACTCGAATAATTTTAGGGCATTTCATTCCACTGTTTAAATTTCAGTTTTTTTCCGTTTGCAGTTACTTTTGGGTCCGATGGCACGTCATGCAGCTATAAGTATTATTCGAGAAAATGCTCAACTTAGGGTTGAAAATAACCAGTTAAAAAGTGAAATTGCTTTGTAAGTTTCTCTTCTGTTGAAAATTATTTAACTTCAAAAAATATTGATGCAAAAAATAGTATTTGGATACTTTGAGATAACATCACATTCAATAGTTTTGCGCCTCATAATTTCTTTGTTTCAGAGACAGAATATTCAGCTAAGGAATTATTGTTCATTTTCTAAACTCTGTCATGTAATCTTTATCATCATAAGCTACTTGTTCTCCTCTACGTAATCATGGAATTTGTTTCTTGTAAAATTTTTTAATCGTCAAAAAGAGCTTGTAAAAATTGATGGATCTTAGGGTCTTAAGAAAAGGTTTTAAGAAAAATCTCGCGAAATATTTTCGCAGTGTATTTCATCTTATTTTCTCGAGGATTTTGTTTCTAAAATTAGCTAGTAATCGATATCATAATCAAAAATGGTTATTATAGTAATAATCTCCACTTGACAAAAACTAAAAGTGAAAAGTTCCCCAATTTTCCTTCTTCATTGCTGATTACTAGATGAATATATAATAGATCTGTTGATTGGTGCAAATTGCCTGATAACTGCTTGAGTAATTCGTCGTAGTCATCGCAGCAGTGCTGTAGTCGCCGTTGTAGTCGAAGTATAATGCAATATTTTTTATCAGCTGATGTTATCAGTTGTGCAGACGTTTCTTTCTTTTTTGTCGGAATATAAAGACTTTTAATGATTTGACAAATTACTTTCTATATTACAGTCGTGAGCTACGTATTGCATCACTAAAGAGTCGGCGTTTGGCGGCCGTTCCAGCTAGTGCATTGGAAGCATTACGCAACAAACAGAATGAATTACAAAATGATAAACGTGAATTCAAGATATTTTGTGAACTTCATGTAGATGAAATAAATCGACGGACTACGGAATTGTTAGAGAAAGAGGTAATTTTTAATGTTTTGTGGAATGATTGAGATGAAGCTTTGATTAGAATGATAATAACTTCTTGTGTTAAAGATTAAATTGAAGTTTCAGTTATGTCGAGAAGAAAGTATTGAAAGTCTGTGTTAATTGGTGAGACCATTGATAGTTTTAAGGTTGATAAAAGGAGGTTAAAAGTTCGCTTCTTAAACCTTCTCCGTAAGATGAAGTTGATTCGAATAGAAATGACTTCTTGGGACTTTTTTGGAGTTTCGTGAACTGAAAAAAGCTCGCTTCGCCCTTTTATTCGCTTTTTTCAAAATCTTTTCGTTTGAATCATTAGTCATCAGACAGTTGGATTTCTTGTTCCCGTGTTCTAATTCATCGTTAATAATCTTCATCTGTAAACATATGAAATGATTGTTCCACGTGTCTATCATTCAACGGATTATGCTACCATTAACTTCCTGCTTTGTAACGTAATGGCGGCCGCTAACATCAATAGACGATTAGAAATTGGCGGTAGCGGATTGTCGAAAAAATAAAACGGAAAAGATTATGGATAAGATATGTGCAAATTAGGTGTTTAATTTTATGTATGTGAGCTCAAGATTTCATCTTTTACTTGTCAACTCTTTGCTTCGTTTTTTCTTTTTTGTTCGACTGTTGGGATACCGTAATCGTTTTCGGATTTTGTTGTTAAAAAGAATTTAACGTTGATTTACCTGACACACTGATTTAGATTAAGTAAATAAGATTTGACAGATAGCGTCATGAATTTGTTTGATGGAGTGAACTCGGTGTCTTTTTGTTTTTGAGAGTAAGTGTTGTTGATATTTATCTGATCCGAAATTCACAAAGATTTAAATTTCACAGTTTAAATCTATCTTAAAATGGAAATTATTATTTGATGTGGATAATACTCTCATGGTGCGAAGATAACCGAAATGACGACATCACATGTATGGTTAAAGTTGGCGATCTCTTAAATGAATAGATTAAAGAAGAGAAGTGTGAACAGCGGATAATGATGACTTCAGAATGAATTGAGTGTTGCTTCATCTAGTGTAATTTATCTGAAATTTGATAAGTGACATCATAAGTAAGTGAAGAGCATGCGACATTTTTTCAAGTGAAACGTATCATTAAATGAATGGTCCTGCAAATTTCAGTAGTCCTTTAGTTTCAATTATTTTCTTCATATTTTGAATGATCCGCATATTTTACAAGGCATAATCTCACCGATTATTTATAGGCTGAATTGAAAACTCGTGAAGAGCAGCTACAAGAGCAGTGGATTAAATTCTATGAAATGAACAATTCAAATTCACCGACTCATCTGTCACATGATATGACAAGACCGGCTAATTTACCATCTTCACTTGACCGATCAATGTTAGCTTGTTGCTTTTATCAGTTTCAAAAATTTCCAAAATGTGAAAGGAAATTCAATTTGATCGTATTCGTTTAATGTCCAAAAGAATGTCTGAATTTTCAATCACCTGGTTCTATCATGAAGAATTTTTCATTAAGAGGAAGAATACCGTTCACTATGATTCTATTATCTAGTACATAAAAATATTAAAAATAACAACTGCGTGGAAAGAAAAGAAATTAATAATCCTTTTGCTTAATTGGTGTACAAATTTTTCCAAATTGTTTATTTAAATAATACATTATGTTTTGCAGATCGATGCGTAGCGTAGCATCATCACTCAGTAAATCACCTAGTGGTTCATCGATACCATTACATTTAGCTGAAAAAACTGCCAAAATATCACGCTCAAAGAAATGAACGAGGAAAGAGATCGCTCATACTTAATATCTTTTCCATATATGATAACGATTCATTCATTTTTATTGCTAGCTGTATATATCACTTCCTCATATTATATTCACCGCATTTTTGCTCTTTTAAATTACTGATGATTTCTGTAAATCTTTATGCTAACACAGGACTGTTTGAATCCTATGTTATTTTATTTGCAACTTTTATTTAGAAAAAAGATTCTCAAAGATATCAGTTATATACAAAATATGGAATGCGAAAAAGATAGTGATTGTTCTAGGAGTAGAGCAAATTCACTAGCGTCATATTTATGAAGCTGAAGCAATAAGAGATACTGTTGTTTCTTTTTTCTTTTTGGTGCAGTCTTGCTTTTATAACCTTTTTTTTTAGAGTATATCACATTTGTTCTACAATTTGAATAACGAAAACTATAAATTACGAATTGAAACAGCTGTTAAACAGCATTATCTTTAAATACTATAGTTTTTTTTAAAAAAGAAAAAAAAAGCATATCGTCGAGATAATCAAGTAGTCAAATTTAGATGATTTTGTGGATTATGAATTATGTTTGATGTTTTCAAATTTGTGATAAATTTTACACAAGTGATTAATCCTGTATTTGATTTATGCACTTCTTTATCAATTTGTATTGTAATTTGTAAGCTATGCATATGAATCTTATGATTTCTTAAAGCAATGATTATTTTTAAATATTGATCCATTATATTTATTCTTATTTTGACAGTCTTTTGTAGAACCGGTTATTTTTATCTTTTTTTATTTGTTAATTGTTGAAATTTTTCATCATTTTTTCCCCGACATCGATGGATGTTTTTTTTTTCCATGCATTTCGGGTTGATGGATTTGTATACTTTAAATTACTTAGTAAGTCAAGTAAATATGTTTACTATAAGTTACTTACTAAATCAAACAAATACGTTATACTTATTTATTTACCTTATTTATGTAATTCAGGCTCATATTCACGGAAAAAGATGGTGTAATATCCTTTTTGTCCCAATGAATTTTGAATCCTATAGCTGCATAAATTTTTTGGAAATTATATCAGGCGATAAATTGAAGTTTTTTGGTCTTCTTTCCCGGAGGGGAAAATAAGGAATAAAAAAAATCGTTGTAATTCTTCTAGCTTACTCTTTCTTTTGCTTCAGTGGTGAAAGTGATCGGTGATTGATTTAAAAAAAAAAAGAGCTAAGAATTGAAGATTAAAATTTCACAATTTAAAAAATTGCTACTTTATTATTATCTATAGATTTTTTTTCTTTGATATTGTATGAAATGCTATAGTGATATGATTTATCTTTCCAGAATAGTGTTTATTTTTGCTTCCTGTTATTATTTTTCTTTCTTAACTTACTTTAATTATAGCATGCTTAGAGTGATATTTCATTATTGATATGTTTGTTTTTGTTATTTTTTTTCCTCGTTTCCTTGGAAAAATTCACTTAAAAATATTTTTGCATGTTTTTTTTTCCTTTTTTATTTAGCAAACTAATATGTTTTCTTTTTTCTACAATTTTATACTTGTTATGATGAATAAATGAACAATTGTTCATTTATTATTATTATTATTATTATTATTATTATTATTATTATTATGTAAAAAATGGTTTTATTTAATATATTTTAATTTACTATTGAAAATTTCAATTCATTTATATTTTGTGAATTTCCAAAAAAAAGTCGAGAAATTTTCGCATTCATTTATTTTTGATGAAATTTAATTTTTACTTTTTTTTTTTTTACTCTCAAAATATGCTTTTTTGAGCAAAATTTATTATTCGAAAAAGAATCGGGTGTACTTTTTTTTTCTCTCTTTTCCGAATAATACACGCTTTACCGGTATTGCACATACATAATTCCTTTCATTATTACTTTTTTTTTTTTTTTGTACATTATTAGTGAACCAGATATGTTTGTTTTGTGCATAAAATATCTTTTCAATATTCTATTCTTTTTCATTTTAAAATTTAAACAATTTTTTAACAAAATAAATGACAATAATTTGTAATATAGTAATAATAATTCATTAAATCTGCAACATATTTTTCAAATCTTTTTATAAGGCCTTAAATTTATATTTAATTTAAAAGTGGTGGAAGAAAAAAAGGGAAAAAGCAAATTTTACGCCAGTTTTTTT